TGTATATCTCATGCACATATCTTTCTTTCTACATAGCACTTTAATTCTTATTGTTTGCACTGAAGCACCGCAGCAATTTCCTAATGTTGTAAACCTCAACACACGACAATAAACCCCATTCTGATTCTGATTCTGATTCTGATTCTGATTAGCAGCCACCATAAACACAGGATACATATGACTGAAAATAAGGGAAAAAATCAAAGCATGAACCAGACTTGGATGCATTCACAGAATGTGCATGTATGTGTCTTTGCCTGTGTTGGCAACCTTTACCACCATTAGCTGAGCTGTCTCATGGATGTAGGCGGTGATATTAATAGTACTTGTTCAACTGTATGTGTGTAGGAGAGGGGGTCAGGGGTCACCATATGTTTTACTATTAAAAATGACAAAACGTGTTTTTTCTCTTTCAGAAAATTGGAAATGTGTAAGACTGAAGCCTCTCAGAAGCTTTTAGGTTGTGTCCTGTAGTTACCACAGAATTCATGGCAAACCATGAATACTTCCTTATTAAAACACAGACGCTCTGTGTATACTGACCTGATCCTCGTCATTATTTTCAGGAAAGAAAGCAAGCATGAGGATTTCCAACAGTCACCTGCAGCAGCTCACCATCTTCACCACCGTGCTGACGGGTGCAGGGATCGGCACAATGTACTACCTGCTACAGAGTGAGTACAAAAGCTCTGTAGTGCTTCATTTACAGTTAGTGAAACCTTTCATTTCAGCAGCTTCGATCATGTACTGTCGCGCTCAGAAATGTGTCATTTGAGAGTGTAGAAAAGTTCAACTTGACGTTAACTTCAGCTGCACTCCTGAGAGTGAATTCTTCAGGTTTTCAGCTCCAGCTGACCTGGGCTGGCTTCAGGAATTAGCACCACTCTGTGGTTTGTTGCACATGTTCAAAAACATGGTGATCTAATTACTGTTTGAATATCATCACCTGTTTTGGTGGTTTAACATAATTTAAGTTGGGTTTAACCTCCTAAGACCTGAGCTCTTCCACAGCAGCATTTTTAATTTCTCTTTGATATTTGGGCTGATTGGGACCTGATGAATGTAAAAACAAACGATTACCAGATTTTTTTTTTTATCTTTTTGTTTTTAAGAAAAATCAGAGCCACATATGAGGATATTTGTTTAAAATTTTGAAAGAACAGTGGCAGTATAATGTCCTCGTAAGTGGATATCAGGCCCTTATAGAGCAAAATTGAGTATTTTGGTCTAAATAACCCAAAATGTGATGTCCACATGTGGACGCAGGTCCTAGGAGGTTAAAAGAAATGATAAAAGAGAGGTGCATGATAATGTACTTTTACTAATTGTAAACATTTTGCACGTTATGTGTGCAGTGGGTGAATGATAAAGCCTAACCCTTCTTGCTCTAATATCTGACCCTCTTCTACCTCGACAGCTGACAACACGACTTTGCAGTTGTGGTGTCCTCTTTTAGAAACTCCACAATCTGTGAGCACATTGTCATTCAAAAATCACTGGATGGTGGAAATCCTGCTAGGCATTTCTGCCTCACCCACCTTTAATGATGCCCTTTAGCTCAGGTGCCCCTTGAAGGCCTTTGCCTGGGGGAGCCACAGTAAACATCTATGGGTGGCATCAGCTGAGGACCACCAGCCAAGGATGTTTATCCCCTGTTGTTTAGCCCCCCGACCTTGTGCTATCTCTGTAATCACAACCACATGCTGGCTTTATGCTTCTGCTGCCAGTTTTCTGGTGGCTGGCATCAGCGCTGCTCCCGTGCAGCGTAGACTGCAGAGGAGGAGTGAAGTTGAGGAGCCAAAAAAGCCCTGATACCTGACTTCCAGTGAGCATATTACAACATTTCAGTCAGCCTCCTGAGACTCAGCTGCCAGGTCGAGTACTTGGATTGCTTCCTCTCATTGCCAACCTCAAACCCTCCTCCCACATCAACAAAGAGAATCGTAGCAGTTTCAGAGCTGGATCTCTGCCCCTTCATCGCTTTTCTTGCCAGCCTCACCATCATTTCCTTGATCTGTCTCCGTCTTTCCTTCCAGCCCTGGACGACCCTTCTTCTCCGCACATGTCGTCCATGAAGTTAAGCTTAGCTTCAACCTGGCCATGCACCGAATGCTTCAGAATGATGCTGAGGTCGTTCTCCAGCTCCTGCAGTTGCAGTCACTTCCCTTTCTCTCGGCGACTTGATTGCCTGTGTCCACTCTGGTTCTTTCCTTTCTCTATTTTCTGCTCACTTTAGTGTTTGTTGGTGCACAACGTGTGTTTACGTGCTGCTGCCTTCAGAGGGACTACTTTGCACCGTTGGTTCGCCTGCCTCCACTTCCTGCCTTCTGTCTTGCGCTGTGGTTTGAAACCTTGGCTTTGAGTCCCACTTGTCTGGCCTGTTATTACTGTGCAGTGTTGCTCCTCGCCCTTTTCCTTGCACTTGCATCTTCCCTGTTGTATCTGCAGCCCTCTGAAGGTAGAAAGCAATCGTCAGTAGAACCCCAATACTGCCGTTCACCATGGTAATGATTAAATAAAGAGCAGAGCCTCCATTTTTATTCCATGTCAGTGGTGACCACGATATATCATTTTATTATAATTTACACACTCATCATTCATCCTGCTTGGACTTTGATCACAGTAAGTAGAACATTTGATTTAAACTTGAATTATTCAGCTGCGACCTTAAAGGACCAGAAAGTGAAATTCAGCCACAGTTTAATGACGGTGAGATTAACCCAGACAAGACCTCGTTTCCCAGTTCCAGTTGGGCCAAAGGTTTTTCCATCAGTGTGACTGCTTATTAAAGTTAATAGATCTGTGATGTAATTATAATAAGAGTTCATGTTAAGTACAAAAATAGCAAAGTAACGATTAACTGGGATTTCATTGATTGGAAAAACTTCTCTTGCTCTGCTACGTGATTTGATATCAAATCTATGAATAAGAGAATGAATCTGAGTGTCAGCAGGTGGGGAGAAGTTGCTTGATGAAGAAAACCTGCCAGCCAGCATGTTTACTTCAGACTCCGTTGCCCTGGTAACTGACTTAGCCCTTATCACAGACTTAACAAATTCAGAGTTTTAGCTGAGCCTACTTCCTGGAATAGGGCCAGCTATACCATTGCCTCGATGTCCTTCATTGTAGCCGTGTGCAATAGCAGCAAGACACAGAACAGCTTGGATGCTCAGACAGCATTTAATCAACCATTCCTGGAACAAACATGAATAGAAACATAAATAGAAACAGGACAGGAAAAATTTGCCGCTTCCATCTGTTTGAGAAAGTGGGTACAGAAGTTGGATCACAGAAGGTCTCAGCACAATTAAACTGCTGTTTAAGGGAAGAGAGCTTAATTTACCCAGCTTCAGTCCAACTCTTCATACTGGAGACCTACTGGATGTCTGCACTGTGATGGTTACTGGAGCCTGTTGCTCCGTCTGCTCTCACATCCACTAGCCACTGAACAATGCTGTTATAGGTTGTGTCTTCTCCCCTTCTCCATCTCTAGCCTTGGTGGGGCTTTTCTCATATTGTTCCCCTGCCACTAAGAGTACAGTTTATTCTCTTGCCTTCTGTCTGTCTGATAAACCTTATCAAGTGGTGACCAAGGCTGTGAGTCTTTGCTTGGCAGATTCTTAGAGATCCCTTTTTTGATCACACTTAGCCAACTTTCAGTGCTACCCCAGAACTTCCCTCCCTGCTAACATACGGGGGCACTGCTCCTTGTGGTTGTTCGTTTTGTAGCCAAGCACCTCAGCGGTCACTGCTGTGGTCTAGATCAGCTGATTCGTTTTGGAGATGGTCGCAGTAGGGATTGTCTGTAATGCTTTGTTCACATCTTTTAGTAGACAAGATAAAACTTAGATAAAACTTTATTAATCCCTCGGGTAGGTTCCTCTGGAAAATCCAGTTTCCAGTAGCAGAACATTGACAGACATTTGCATAGTAAAAAAAATTTAAATTAAAAATAAAGAGGGGAAAACCCAGCGTGTCATAAATAACAGATATTAACCCTTTCTGAGATGTATACAAATATAGGAACATATCAGCCGTCTTCAAGCCTCTGGAAAGTAGGACATCTGAGGTTGAACAAAGTGTCTGATCTGAAGCTCTCTGAGAAGATTTGTGTGCAGGAGATTGAATGTTTCAGAGAGTTTCATGAAAGATACAAAGCACCTACTGCACCAATCCTGAAACACAGAATCGCTTAAGGATGGTTGAAAAACATAATGTGGTGAGACTGGACTCAAAGGAGAACAGTCAGTCTCACCGGTGTTTTTTCATCTGAGTCCATATTCTCACTGTGTGCCTCACCACCGGATTATCAAATGACTTATTGGAGGCCAAGGGAAGTGGAGATCCAAGTATTGCCAAGACAGATGTGTCTTTAACAGGAATTGGAAATTAAACCAAAACATGGTCCAGCATATATTAGATGCCCAATAGTAATACTGGAAATTATGCTTAGACTTGTGGAGACCAGAGTTTTTCACTCAAGGGTGTTTGCCCCTCCATGTGTAAAAAATAAAATAAAATGAAAAAGGCGTGGAAGTGTTGCAGTGTTTACGGTGTATTCAGTTCACTTTGCATCCTGAAAACATACGGAGTAAAAAGGTAGAAAATAGGATGTATAGATTCACATGACAAGAAGACCAGGTGATCCTCTACACACAGGGATACTTTATGCATGACTCCTCTCCTCCACTTCCCAGAGACATCTGCTCAGCCTCGTAGCGTGGCCAGTGGCTCTATATCCACATCAAAGAGTAACGGGCTTGAGGGGACACCCTTGCTGGGTTTGGAGGTTAAACAGCTGTGACTGCTGGGAGTTTGAAAGGATTGAGGGTTTAGGGCAATTTTATCCAAAAATTAAATTTGGGTCCAAACTTGAATTTTCCCAAGCTTGAGAATAGATACTCGCACTCCACACAATCAAACGCCTTCTTTGTATCCAGGGAGCAGATACAGTCTGGAGTCTCCGTGCGAGGAGAATATCATACATCAAACGGATGACAGATACTGGTTTTTAATAAAGCTGGTTTGATCTTCAGATGTGATTGATGGTAAAACGATTTCCAGTGTATGCACTAAAACTTTGGTCAGTGAGTAAGGAGACTGACCTGTAAGATGAGCATTCGAGTGGATCTTTACCTTTCTTTAGAACAACAGTCATACATGCTTCATAGAACGATGACGGGACTTTGGCTGACTCCTTTAAATATGGCAATGTTACACACAGTTGAGGTGAAAACAATACGGAGAATGCTTTAAAAAAAATCAGGAAATCCATCTTGGCCCGGAGACTTTCCAGACTGATGAAATCTTAACTTCCGCCTGTTTTATAGGTTCCTTTTTATAGGTTACATTTCGGAGAGAGCGTGGGATATTCAAAGAATTAAAAAGTTCTCCATCAGAGTTTTCTCCTGTGGAAGCTCAGAGGTATAAAGTTGAGAATTGAGAGACCTGGATGTGTTGTTACTCTAACATGATCTGAGGTGATGGTACCATTGGTCGTTCTGTTTTTGGAAATATGCAGTTTTGCCTGGATACCCTTCAGCTGGTTGGATAGCATCCTGTCAGCTCTGTCTGTGCATATAGAACAAACTCTTACACTTTAGAAGCTGACATTAAACTGAGTGTTGAAAGGATGTCAAACATAGTCTGCAGCATTACCGTCTATTATATAATTGTGTTTTTTTTAATCCTTGCATATAGCTGAAGTATTTCTTTGATTTGGTTAGCTAATTCAAGTCACTCCCTTTTTCCTCATGTTTGCTGAATAAGAAATGATTTGCCCCCTCAGAAAGTCTTTCAGTGTATCCTAAATCGTCAGGCTAAATATCTCATTTGTTGTATTCGTTTGGGGGAAAGCAGATTTGTTTTTCCATGAATTTTAGAAAATTCTTGTCTGCAAGAAGAGTTGAATTAAATCACTAATGTTTTCCGTATTTTGGGGCATCGGGAAGATTCATGATTGGCACGAGAGTTTAACGTATCAGAAATGACCTCATGTTTTTCAAAGCACACATCTGGATCCGTAACGACTGAAACACCTCTGGCTTTGGCCTGACGAGTGGAGTGAAAATGCTGCCCCTCCCCCAGTAAGATGGGTGCTATCCGACCTGCAAATGTGTGTTTCCTGTTTAAATAACACAAAACAATATAAAACAAACCACCGCTGCCCTGCACTGTTTGATGTGTGAGAACATCCTTTTAGCAGGGTGGTTTACACCTCAATATTCCACCTAACGAGTCTACAGCACTACCCAACCTCGACAGAGATTCGTGCACAGATAGAGCCATGCATGTACAATAGGGTAAGGTTCTCCTGCAAACACAAATGAAACCAACACAACCGAGGCCACTGTGCCTCCTAAAACGTTACTATTAGAATCAGATCATTCCCACCCCTCCATACTCACTACTCTATAACCACCCCCACTACTTTCCCCCAAGCTGATGACGGCTGCCAAAAGGAAAAGCAGCAAGCTCACCAAAACACTTCCTACCTTATTCAAAAAGAGAAAGCAAAAATTCTGTAGAATATATTCATAATTAAACCTTTAAGCTTCTGGTCAGATATGGCTGTGCCTTCAACCACATCAGAACAGAACATCTTACCAGATACACCGAATGTTGAAAAGTGAGAAAGAAAAAAGTAAAATAAAAGCGGCACCAATACGTGCATGTATGTATACAAGTATGCAGAGTGCTGACATGAGCAAATACTTAAAACCACTGCTGAACAGTCTTCCCGTAACCATAGCAGCCAGGTATCATCTAGCCTCCTGCATACTGCAGCAAAGGATAACGTGACTGAGGTAGTTAATAACATAACATGGATGCTCAGGATGATACAAATACAGTGGATAGGTTGTCCACATAATCCCTCGCGTCAGCGGCTGAGCAAAGCCATCCCTTCTCTCTGCTGGTAATGGTATTGCAACTTCCCTCCCCGCCGAGCCTCGCGGATCAGAAGGTCCTTTATCTGATAGCGATAAAGGCGAATGATTACAGGCCATGACATCTGAGCTAAGTTTGGCTTAGCAACAGGTGAGCGATGGGCTCTGCACCCACCTTCGATGGATTCCACCAGACCTGCATGTTCTGTCGGCTTTCCAGGTCATTAACACTGGCCACCAGTTTAGCATTGCTTTCACTAAAACTGGAACAGACATCCTCGTAATTCTCTAACCAGCTAACGTCTATACAAGTATAGAAGTGTGACGCTTATGTTCTGAATAAAAGGGAATGAGGAGCAACTGTCTCCTCGTCCTATCACATCCCTGCCAAACTCACTCCATATGAACCTTTTTAAAAACTAAACTCTTGGTTTGTGCTCTGTGAACGCTTATTTTAACTTTAAGTTTTGAGTAAAAAGAGTAACTGTTACCATTCATACTTTAAAATGTTGTATTATTTTCTAGCTTTCCTGTTTTTGTTCACTCACATATATCATTCTGTCTGCTGTCTACTTAGAGAACTTTGCTGCGTCAGACTACCACAGGCTGGCTTTGCAGGAGTTGGAGGCATGTCCAGTTGCCATGGAAAGCCTGGGGGCGCCACCTTTAAAGGTCCACAACATCCATCTGACTGACAGATACAACCGTGTAGATAAGCACACTGCACAGGTACTGTCCTTTAGGAGGGCAAGTGTGCCAATAACACAGACAACCGATGCTGTCATCCCTGACTTCTTTCTTTTCTAGTTTTGCATGTGCAGCTAAACTGGTTTTCCTTCTGCGTATAATTAAAGTATTTTCTTACAAGTAGCTTTTTAAAAATATTTAGATGTATAGAAAATTGGTGTAGAATCCACATCGTGAGCAAATGTAAATCACAAACTCAATCCTATTGCAAAGAACTCTGAATGTATTGAATACTGAGTGTAAATTGCTTTGCAGATAAAGATTCCTGTGACAGGGATTAAAACCGGAGGCTATCTGTGTGCGTCTTCACTGAGGGATCCCAACACAAACAGGTGAGACAGTTGTGCCACAACTGAACTGCTGCTGCTGAATTTGTATTCAGTTTATTTTGACATAGTGATGTGACTGACGGGCGCCAGTTTAGCTCAGTAGGTGAGCAGAGTTAGGCTGACATGCAGACGCTGCCATTCGTGATCAGCATATTACATTTTATTGTGTATGTGTTGGTGCATAACCAGGACGTGTGTGTGTGTAAACGGGGACAAACTTTTAAGTATATCATGCAAATAGTGCCGTTTATATTTGAGTTGTATTTACATTTTCGATTAATGAATAACTCATGGAGAAAAGCAAAAATCCTTATTTTTGAAAATATCACAGAATAACACTTCACATGCTTTATTGTAGAGTGTTGTGTTGTGCTGACACATTGACAGTAGTCATTTTTTAGTCATTTTAGGACACTTTATATTGTAAAGACCGTGTGTGTTTCAGGGCTGTGCGTCCTGATGTCCTGATAGAAATCTTATGTAATGTGTTTTTGGTACATTCAGTGAATAGTTTATATTCACTTTGTAACTGACTAACAACCCTTTACCGTGTTAGTAGTCTCAGGCGTGGTTTCAACTTTAACACTAAAAACCACACAAACACACATCCACACAAATAACAACAAAGCTGAAATAACATCTACGGGTTTCTAGGCCTTGAATCGTATTTGCAGCCGAACACTCTTCAGCACACTGTATGACGACTGCTGTGAAACTGTCCATAATTGTTTTAACCGCCGTCAAAAGCAAATGAAGCAGGATGTGAACGCTAACCATAGGGACTGATGTGAAAGCTTGATGGTCGCTATTCCTCACACGCGTTCGTTACTCCTTGCAGGTGGAATCTGAAGCAAGCAGTTCTAAAGCTCAGGGAAGGAAATGCCATTGACCTGCTGAATCCTCCATCAACTACAGCACAAAGCCACGCAGCAGGGCACGCAGACGGGGTAGACGTGGGCCGCTGGCACTGACCAGCTTTATGAACAAACAGCTATGCCTGCAAGAGGAAGCAAGCGCTGAAGATGTTTTGAGCTATATTTACTCCACATTCATTGTATGGTCATCTTTTAAGGGAACCATCAAGAAGAAAAGCTCTCAGTGCCGCAGACTGCTGCAGACGGTTGCAGCTGAGTGGACTTGTGCACTCACTGCTGCCTCTGTCACAAATCATTAGAAATGTACAAATATGCACCAATCAATAAATGTTACAAATGTATTAGTTTCTAACATAATTGACTTTCACACAGACTTGCAGATGTGTGTGTCTGTATGTGTTCAGGGGAAACGGTATGATATTCATAAAACAGGACGTAAAGCTGTGGTTTCACTTTTACCGTAACCTTCTGCTTCCTGTGCAGATGTAGAGCGAACACACAACCACCGATATAAAGAATGCATGTTTGCCATGCTCGGCTTTCTGTGGTTTCTCTTCAGCTTTTTATCCTGTTATTTTTGCTCTCGGTCTCAGTCAAAATTTCCAAAATAACAAATTTCCAAAATAGCAACACTTGAAGCTATGTGTGCGTGTGGATGCATTATCATTTGGTCATAACACTTTTCCTACTGTCACAAAGATTTTCAGACAATGTTTTATGGAGATGGTTGGACTTGTGCACTCAGATCATTACATTTTAGGACAGTGACGCAGTTTTTGTAATTTTGTCTCTGCACAGCACCGCAGTGGATTTTACTTCAACCAGCATGTGATTCAAGTACAGACAAAAGAACCAATTCGTTTCAAGTAAAGAAACTGTTGTTTAATACTTGGATGCAGTCTCGAGTCCATGAACATCACCAAATACGCTTTTCTGTTCTTCCTGTGTTGTTTCGTGCAGGTGCAGAAGTTCCTCCTTTTTTCCTGCCCGTCAGCTTAGACATTGTCATACTGCACTTAAACTATAACAGCTGAAATAACACTAATAGAAATGAATACATAAAGAGATAAAAGAAACCTGGGAACAAGAGGAGCCTGTAGAGCATTTATCGAGCTCTGGCTGCAAAAGCTTACTGACAAGACAGTTTGAAAACAATATATTAAAAAGAACAAAGTTCATAACTTCATATTAAAATTTCAGGTCTGGAAAACACATTTGGGTTCAGTTTAATGACAAATTGATCTGTTTCTATATTTAAAAATAAATGACACGATGATCTGACATCCTGGCTTCCTCTTGCTGTTGAGTGTGCGTTGTACCTCATCTCTGTTCGGAGTTGAACGACGAGTTGTTTCGACTTTAGTGTAGATGCTTCAAAGATTCCATACATCCCACATCCTCTTCATGTAACCCCTTCTGCTTATTACTCCGGTATTAGCATCTCATTATATATTAGCATTCTATAGCAGATATATATGACAACATGAAAACTCTACTTTTATGTCCAGCTTGCACTGGGACAGTTTGTGTGAGGCGGCAGGAATGAGAATCAGCACTTCCAAGTCTGAGGCCGGAAACGGGTGGAGTGGCTGCCCCAGGTGGAGGAGTTTAAGTATCTTGGGGTCTTCTTCACAAGTGAGGGGAGCAGGAGATGTATAGATGGATGGGTGATGCAGCCACTGTGCCGGTCCATCACGGTGAAAAGCAAGCCAAGCATAAAAGCAACCTGTGGTCATGAGCTGTGGGCAGTGACCAAAAGAATGAGATCACAGATACGAGCGGAGGAAATGAGCTTTCTCTGAATGGTGACTGTCCTCTCAGAGATGGGGTGAGGAGTTCATCTGTGAAGGGCTCTTCTTTGGTAGACTCTGTACTCATGATGCATGCTCAATTATCCAGGTAGCTTTTAAACCAAAACACGCTGCGTCAAAAACGGGTCCACCCCAAGGATCGGGTCCCCGACACAGAGTATCATAGTGTACGCTGGTAAGTGCAGGAGGACTGCCAGGATATACATCGGGGAAACCAAACAACCTCTGGCTACAACACAG